TGAACCTACAGAGTTCATGGATGCACTCTCTTTCCTGCATTCTCGGTTAAAACCGGGGTAAAGATACCAAATACAAAGCTTATACTGTTCGCTAAATTCAGATGTAATGTGCACCCGAGCATGAGTATAAGTCAACGATCCGTCTGAGTTCATGCCTGAGTTTAAATGTATAAGTTTCGTGACTGATAAACAACAAGCAAGATTGCGCAATCATAGTTTTTTTTAAATAATGGCATATTCTATTAAACAAATAACCTTGAACTGCAAGAGAGAAATCAATCAAGCCTGTCCTTGACTTCACTCTGACGATGTTCATAAAGAAACTGCTTTCGCTTTCAATGCTCTCTACTTTGTCAGACCATATTCCTACAGAAAGGAAGGTTAAGCAACTGTTCCTTGCAATTCCGACCGGCAAAAGGCCCAGGGGACGGCCAAGATTAACCTGGTGCAAACATGTGGAAGGAATCTGTTCCAGACTCCGTTTGTCTTTTGTCGAAGCTCAGACTCTGGCACAGGATCGGAAACGGAAGCTCTGTCTGACGTGTCTGCCTCCTCGACCCGAGAGGTGAAGCGGCGATGGAAGATGAAGATGATACAGGCTTTGAAATGGTGAAAGTGCACAGCGTAAAGAAAAGAAATCAATTTCTCCCTTTTCACCAGCAGCTGCTTGCACCGCCCCTTGATTCTAGACGCCTAGGTGGTCCATTTAGGGAGGCAAGGCTCCATGATGTTTATATGACACAGGACCGCGTCTCGAACAAGAAACACTGACACCTTCAGTTGGCAGAATCGTCTGTACTTCTGTCACAAGTACAGATATTGTCCATACATTTAACTAGCACACCTTTCCTCTATCTCGGAAAGCCAGCAAATATCAGAGTAATGTATTCCACAGCAAAGCGTATATTCTTGAGCCGTTAGCCGCGAAGGCTGTCGTGCATCCAAGAAAGTTGGCTAACGAAGATCTGTCTACGGGGACAGTGCAATTTAGCACTTTAGCTCAGCCTGTTTAGAAAAAAAATACTCTGAATACAACTGACTGCCCCAAAGTTTATATAATTGCATAAGAAACTTCGTCTGCACTGATCGCTGTAGATATTCATGAAACTTTTTATACCTCCTTCTAACCTCTTAGTAAAAAACGACATTCAAATGACATTCACTGCCATGCATTGGATTTGAATTCGACACCTCTAAAAAGCAAAGGGAACTGCTGACCAGCTGACTACTTGGACTCCCTGCTTCCTCCCTCCAAGAAATGAACTCATGTGTGCGAAAATTCCCTTCGCCGAAGTGTTTTTCGCAAACAACTGTCCTTGGGGTTTATCATATGTAGCTATGGATTTACTCAATAGCGCATAAGAAACTAATCCTACAGCATTGCGTAATCCTATAAATTTGCACGTTCGCACTTTCGCTTCTTCCTTGTGCTGCTTTCGTACTTGGCATAGTTCCCTCGCTGAAGCTGACACTCACTAAATTTTGATTTTTTTCAAATGCCAATTTTCTTGGAATATTGATTAGTTGCTCTGTGTTCGTCGAGGACGTCGCATTGACTCTCGTCAAGTATCGATCTTTCTGTGCATTAGTTTTCAATGGGAAGTATTGAACTAGTCAAAAGACAAATTGAGGATTTATATTGACTGGAAATGCAGATGACCTCTATGCAAGCACAATCCCTTCCATGATCACTCGTTAATTAAACCGGTGGTTTATTAATACCGGTTTGTTCTCTTAACGATTAATTATCAGCGGAATGCTGATAGATCGCTATGAGCTCTCATAGAGAAGCAGCCACCAAGTTTGCAAGGAACGTCACATGCGTAGAGAAGATACATATAACGCAAAAAACTTTGTCGAATTGAACAATCTTTTAGTGCGACGTTTCCGCCATGCCTCATGGGCCTTCTTCGAGGTAGACAGAGGGGTTAGCGTCAGAAGTCCTTTTATAATTTACAGCCATTTGTAAGTTCCAACGCAGAAGGCAAGTTTTAGACTGTGCTGTCGGGTGAGTAATTTCTTAACTACAGGACGAAAGGGCTAATCCGATCCTAAGAGAGTTCATATCCTACATTTCAGCTGACGTTGTTGCGTGTTTCGATGATTAATGCCTCCTTGATGCGACTGTTCAGTTAGTGCCTTTCTTTCATGATGCCGGTACACCTTGACTATCGAGGGAGGGCCCTTGTTTCGTTGCATACTGCACAATCCGCAGGGTCATTTCGCATTGTTTCTTGACTTGGCTGAGGACAAGTCTTTGTTTTCTTCTTCGGCATTTCCCACATTCGTTTGCGATCACCTGTCTTCTCCAACGTGACAGATTCGTCTTGGCTTTTATTTTTACTATATAAATTTCCAGCAGTCACAGTTAAATACCTTGCCTTCTACCCCAATATTGTTCCACACTTATACATAACTTGTCTCATTAAATGAAGAGTCCTGTTCTTTTCTTCTTTACCCTAGTCAGCACCTTAGTAAGTGTTTTGAATACATGCGCAATTATATACCTTATAAAGATTAAAATATGGTATGTTCTCCAAGACCAGACGGATAAGTTATTTCACATACAGAGATGTTCGAATATAGTTTGTTGTTCATTTGGTGACAGTTGCTGGTTAGCAACCTCTAATCATTATTCGCTATAAGTGCGAAATAGTTCTGTCGAAGGAAATCATGCGAGATGCATCTGGCACTGCCGTTACTCAAATGTCACCGAAACATGGTCTGCTTAGATGTCAAATAAGAGCAAAGGACAATGCAATTCGCCCTGAAATTCTAGCCTTTAATAAATTGCGTCAATTACGCTTGCACTGAGGCTTAATGGGACACCAGCAAACCAAGAGCAGAGTGCCACAACTACACAAACGACAAAAGCTGTATAGGTCGATCATAACAATTTTTAGGCTGAGGAATATCCATCAGCGTTTTTTTTTAAATTTTATCGCGAAGAAGTAGTCGATAGTGAGCATTGAATTACGTCACACACCTATGAAAGACTTATGATAAATTTTGGGCTAACACTAAGTGCATATTTTTATGTCGATCCCCAAAGGCTACCAATGCCTTTCTAGAGAAATTATTAATCTGCATGTACTTTCCGCTATTTGCTAATAAATCATGTTTTGTACATCAGTCTTGTCTCAGAGTTGCATCACTGAAGGATCCTGTGAATTATGATTGCGATGCTACGTTACCAAACTGTTTTCAGATTTCTGTCAGGCATTCACAATTATACCACT